CCCCCTAACCGAGCTACCCCACAATACCCCCCACCCTCCTAACCGCGCCCCCCCCCAGGAGCGCGCTCTCATCGAGGACTGTAAGCTGAAGCTGACAGCGCTGGACGCTGACCCGCCCTGCAGCTCACGTAAGAAGCGTCAGCGCGCGCTGCTGCTGACACTGCTCAGCCAGCGTCAGCATATCAAGAAAGTGATCCGTGCGCTGCATGTCAGCGCTCAGCACAACAAACTGGTGCTGAGTCAGCGTCAGCGGTCCCTGCTGACTCAGCTGGACGTGTCAGAGCAGAACTCAGCGGCGTCGCCCCTGTCGCCGCTGAGGAGGCGGGTGTTGGATGTCAGCGTCGCGCTGTCCACGTCCAGCGAAGACGTCTCAGTGGCCGCCGGTGTTCAGGGGCAAATTTCTGCTATAAATAAAGCATTAGCGGCCAAAAATAATCGTTCTCCTGCTAAAAAATCTCATGTGTTGCCAGAAAATAGGGTGTTGAATTCGCTTGACAACGAACTCTTGTCAGCTGCTGAGCACATTCCGTCTGACAAGCGCCTCCAGTCGTCTGACAAGCGCCTCGAGTCGCCTGACAAGCGCCCCCAGTCGTCTGACAAACCCTCCCAGTCGTCTGACAAACCCTCCCAGTCGTCTGACAAACGCCCCCAGTCGTCTGACAAAGAAGCGCCATCGTTTGCTGTGTCGCAAACCCAGGCAACAACAAATAAAAAAGCTAAACACGCGATGAATTCTCTGGATAAAATGCCCGGCAAGTCGAGCCTTGCTGTCCCCACCACCGTAAAGCTCGTCCCAGAGAGAAACAAACCTAAAGTGCAGGATATTGCGCCGGATATTGCCGTGGACGAGTCGAGTGGACATCCTGCCTCAACTGACTGTTCCCCTCGAGGGGACATTCAGGAGACCCCGTCCTCTGCCGAAGAGGAACGCTTCATCCCCGCCGAGGAATTCTTCTCCAGGAAAGATACTTCCACTGAAGCTGTCGCTAAGAAACCTTCAGTCCCTAGGAAATGTTCAACACACTGCCAAACCGACCTGCAGTCATCAGCCCAAACTGACCTTCAGTCTTTGGCTCCTACACAAGTTGCTTCAAAGATGGAGTCTAAGTCATCTCAATATGATTCCCGGGACCATGGCGTCTCAGAGGCCCACAAACTTGACCCAGATTACGTTTCTTTGAACAACTTCGTGCGTTTAAAACCCAAGACTGCCTTCTCCCTGCCATTACGTGTGCCGCTCTCACCCCGAACCGTGACCACGAAACTCAGTGAACCACAAACCATGCACCGCAGTTCTTTGACGGACGCAACATCTATGACCCTCCCACGATACTCAAGTGAGTCAGATGACTCGTTCACTTGGTCCCAGAACGAGACCTCGGAGACTAGCGACGGGGAAGGCCTGGTGCTCTGCCTTCAGCAGGAACTCGCCGCTAAGAAGGCCGAGGTTAAGAAGCTCAGGAAGGAGGAGCGCAGGGTCAGGAGGGAAAGAATCGCGTCCCAGCAAGCGGCGCTTAAGAAGCAGATCGCCACGTACGACCGCTGCATCAGGGAGGCTGAGGCCGCCCTCCACAGCGCCCACGCCATCCCTAACAATTCCCTGGCCGTGCGACCTGTCATTGGCAAGCCTCAGTCACGGCGGTCCAAGACATCCGCGGAGCTCAGCGCGCTCATGGCCGCTGATAAATCCGACTACTCGGACGTGTCGGACGCGGCGCCCAGGAGCGACCAGTCCGCCTCCTCCAAGACTCTGGAGGAGGCCTCGGCCCGAAGTGAAGCTGTCTCGGGTCTTGAAGGTTCTCAGGACTCGGGCTCCAGTAAACATGATGAATCCAAGTCCAGTGGCAACGATGAATCAAAATCATGTATATCTGACTCAAGTAAAAGCGATGATCAGGCAAGTATCATTTCGAAGGCTGAAGACTCTAGCACCACGCGCCCTAGTCACGAGGAAGCATCTCTTCCATCTCAATCCTTGCCAGCAAAACCGACCATCAGCACCTCAGCCAAGCCAAGTATTGAAGGCTCTGGCCGTTCTAGTGACGCTAGTGGAAATGCTGCTGTAGCCTCAAGAGCTGACAGGATTGTTGCTGTCAGCGGAGCAGACTTGGCTGGCAAGCCAACTTCAGGCTTGGTCTCTACTCCTGGTCTGCCTGTCATGTCTTCATCGGGAGAACTTGGCACTGCTTCGATGGTTCCTGAAGTTTCTAATGAAAAAGCTGACACGAGCTCGACTGTTGCGCCAACACTGAAGATAGGGACTCACGTACTGCCTCTATCTGAACCAATGCCTGGGGTTACTTCCGTTGAATCTTCGCACGAACCAACTCTCGAACCCTCGAAATCCTTGCGTGAACCAGCTCTCGAACCCTCACAATCCTCGCGTAAACCAGCTCCCGAATCCTTGAAATCCTTGCGTGAACCAGTCCCTCAACTCACTGCGTCCCAGCGTGAACCTGTAGCAGAACCTTCACCTGTGTTAGAGTCCCTCAAACCTGCTGAACCTGGCGTATCAGCTGTGGTTGAATCCGATAAACAAGCCCCGGAGATTGCGGAAACTTCCAGCCTTCAAGAGGAAATTGTGGACGGGGATGACACGAGCATCTCTGGCAGCTTCCCCATATTCCCCACCGGCGTTGAGGACGCTCAACTTGGGGAAGCGGAGGCTCAACTTGGGGAAAATGAGGCTCAACTTGGGGAAAAGGAGGCTCAGCTTGAGGGAGAGGAGGCTCAGCTAAACGTGGAAAGTTTGCCTGCAGAACAAAACAAGGCTTTGAATATTGATGTCGATGCTGCACCTGCCGATGTTGTGGCCGATGTTGAACACATTCCTGCTCAACGCTCACCTCCATCTACTGGCCCCAAGTCGCGAGGAAGTGATGAGTCGGTTTCCGAGGACGACCCGACGGATTATGAGTATGATTTTGAGTCTGGCAAAGAACTAACTCAGTCTGGCAAAGAACTTACTCAGTCCAGCAAAGAAGATTCTGATATTAGTGAAGAAATTGAAGCGCCCGACGATTTTGAAAGTGAATCTCAAAGTGTCACTAAGACTTCAAGAGAATCTGGTGAATCAACATCAGACAAAAGTGAGTCAAAACAAAGTGGAACACATCGTTCAGGAATCTCTGGATCCAGCGGGACGCTGCAAGCCAGAGTCTCTAACAAGAAGGATCCTGCTGGTGAAATAGCAGACCTGTTGCCGCAGTCTGCGGGCCAGACAAAAGATGAACATGTTCCTGCACCGATAACCAAGGAATTACAAACACCTTCTGCAGTGGTTGACGTCGTTCCAGTCATTAGTGCTCCACCTGTCACTAGTGCACCACCAGCACCAGTCACTAGTGCACTACCAGCACCAGTCACTAGTGCAGGTTCAGCTCAAGTCCTCTCCATTGATTCATGTGAATCCAGCATAGAAGAAAGCATAGCGGAGTCAATTCAAGAATCAGAAGGAGAACACTCTTCCGCAAGCGGTGCATTGAAACTGGGTGAACCAAACTTTGCACTGAACCTGCTGAGCGTGGACCATGAGAACCCTTTACTGAGCAAGAACGGTTCTGACAGCACCGGGGAGGCCACACTCAGCACTGACAGAGACAGAGAGAAGAACTGGAGGTCGCAGCAAGATGGTAGCGTCGACCAACGCACAAATTTTGACAGCGGTGAAGTTTTGGTGCAAGAAAGGAACTCTGCAGCGGATGTTTATCTTGACAAGGTGGTTGCGAAACATGAAATATCGGAACAAAATAGCCTGCAGGTGCCTTCATCCTGCTTGTTGGTAGAGCCTTCAGTTATTGGTGGAGAGGAAAAAGCTGCGACACCAACTGATGGTGCAAGACCTGCTGGTGCCATGGCTGTGGATGAAGTCGAACCTTTCGATGCCAAGGATTCAGAAAATGAAGTCGAAGCTGATGATGCCATCCAGGTAACGGATGGAGAAGAGTCTGTAATGGCCTTACATCTGCCAGAGGAGCTGCTAGTCCCGTCGTCTCCGATGGAAGACTCGGACGAGACAAGAGACGTGTGGAATATGCTGGACCAGGAGACTGTTGATGGCGATGCGTCAGGAGCAGGTGACGGGGTGGATGAGACTGCCACCATTGCAATTCATGAGGAGCATTCAACAGTTCTTTCATCTGCAGGAGCTACAGCGAAGTCCTTAGAACAAAACAATCGAGAACTCGAGGAGATTGAGGTAGCGTTGCACACAAGACTCCTAGCTGCTGCTAAAGACAAAGATTCGCGCGGGCAAACTTCCATTCTCGATGATGACAAAATTCAACAGCGGAAGAAGGTTATCGACTCGATCGCTAATCAACTGTTGACTGATTTGGTTGATGATGCCTCGAAGTTTTTCGAAGGTTTGGTGACAGCAAAACAAAAGAAGCTTTCCTCCAAGTCAGCCGCCACTGGTCAGGCTTCAACATCAGCGCCTCTAAACTCCAACCTTCCAAAAACACCTTCAGGAAATTCGAGCTCAGCACCTGATGAATTAACAGAAAATAAAACCCAATTTCTTCATGAAACCAACAATTCTTCGCAGGATAAAAATGCGAAGACTTCAACAGAAGATCCCACAGAACAGCAGGACCTAGTTACTTCTGTCACGTCCCAGGGCCCAGCGAAGGCCGGGGCCACATCAGCCTCCCCCATGGGGGGCCCAGTGGGGGCTGGGGCCACATCAGCCTCCCCCATGGGGGGCACAGCGAAGGCTGGGGCCACAGCAGCCTCCCCCATGGGGGGCCCAACAAAGGCCGGGGCCCTAACACCCTCCCCCAGGCTGGAGTGGGGGGATTTGCTGCAGAAGGTGCTGGAGGTCTCACCCTCCCCACCTCCTCCTCCCTACAAGGGGCGGGGGTTACTCAGACAACCCCAGGCTGGGGATGACCAAGGTGAGGGGTGAGATGTGGAGGCTGTTGTTTATATCATTAATATGAATTATTTTATGGGTAATAAAATGCGGTCTTCTGGGGTAATATCTTCGGGCCAGATTTTGGGATAGATATTTATTAATCTTTATTTATAATTTATTTATTATTTATATGTGTTATAATAAAAACTAATATATTGATCTATAATTTTGTTATTGGATCTTGAATGGCCATGTAAATCAAATACATGCATATTACTTGCATACAATACACGCATGTAGCATCAAAAGATAGGAGATGAACCCTTAAATTTCAGTTGTATTTCCCCCCCTTAATTCCTCCCCAATTATTGTCAAAGTCCTCCCCTCCCCTTAACAAGTCCTCCCCTCCCGTGAGGCTCTAACGCCCCTCCCGGAGGCTCTAACGCCCCTCCCGTGAGGCTCTAACGCCCCTCCCGTGCCCCTCCGTGAGGCTCTAACGCCCCTCCCGCGAGGCTCTAACGCCCCTCCGTGAGGCTCTAACGCCCCTCCGTGAGGCTCTAACGCCCCTCCCGTGAGGCTCTAATGCCCCTCCGTGAGGCTCTAACGCCCCTCCCGTGAGGCTCTAACGCCCCTCTGCCCCTCAGGTTACCGCGCCCGCAGCCCCACCGCAGGGACCCTCGCCGCCACCACCGCCCTCGACCCCGTGAGTCCCCATCTCGTGGTGCAATTATTTTATCATGTCATGTTGACATGTTTTATGCTGTCATGTTGTTGCCATGTCATGTTGCTCCGCCATCTTGTCGTTTTTGCCATGTTATGTTGCTCCGCCATCTTGTCGTTTTTGCCGCCATTTTGTAACGCCTTCGTGTTGTTTTTATCACGTCATGTTGCGATATGGCAATTAATGTCTCCTTAGCCAACTGCTCAACATAAACATGATGTTGATCTCACCCCTGCCCCTCCCTCAGGACCTGCTGTCGGCGAAGCTGCTGCAGCTCCTGCAGGGCGGCGGCCCTCTGCAGGATCAGGATCTGTCAGCCCACAAGACAAGTCCTGACGACGCTGATGTCCCTTCGAGACTTTGTCGGGAAGACCTCAGTGAACCTGACGAAGATTCTACTGCCGGCGCTCAGGGTCCAAGAAAAAACTTGGAGCAGCGGCGTATGGATGGGTCTGAACTACGGATGGATGGATCTAAACTGCGGATGGATGGGTCTGAACTTCGGATGGATGGGTCTGAACTGCGGATGGATGGGTCTGAACTGCGGATGGATGGGTCTGTTGACACACTTCTTGTTGCTGGACAAATCAACGAAGAAGAAGCGGATCTTCAAGCGCACGGATACAAAAATGCAGACAAAAACTCCGAAAAAGACGACAATGAAGGCGCAGAAGACGACTACACGGAGGAGCTAAAGCAGCTGTCCAAGACTTTTGACATCGATATTTCAGATTGCGATTTACAGTTGGATAATATCAGCGACGCCCGCCCCGCCCCCAGGGATGAGTTTGACCCTGAGCTGGAGTCCATGTTACGTGGAGGCACGCGTGACCACCTCCAGGAGTTTGGAGTCACGCCCCACTTTGGAGTCTCGAGCGCCCGCGGTAGTTGGAGTGATGAGAACTTCTGGAGCGCTGGGACAGAGGTAAGCGTTGAATATAAATTTTCTATTTATATTTTATTCCTATTAATTTGCATCTTCTAATCATCCCTTCAGAGCTTACTTTCTATTACCTTTTATTTTTCCTATTGCTTTACATCTTCAAATCATGCTTTCAGAGGTTACTTTCTATTGTCTTCCATTATTCCTTTTACTTTCTATTTTCGGAAGATATGTACATCTAAGCTGAGCTAACTCTCTCTACCAGCTGTAGCTCCCCTAGACCAGCTATATCTTTCTGACCATCTATAGTTCTGGACCAATTACAATATATTACATAATTGTTAATATTATAGAGTGTTATATATTTCTGACTGTGTATAGCTCAAAATCAATTGTAATATATACCGTACATTATAATTAATAATATATTTATAATAGTCCAGCTATATCTTCCTGACCATCTTTACATAGCTCTGGTCCAATTACAATATAATAGATAATTATTATTAAAGAGAGTTATATCTTTCTGACTGTATATCTCTAAATCAATAGTAATATATACATAATAATTAATATTATATTTATCAGCGAGCTGCGTGTCCAGAATATTCCTCTAACCTCCTCCCTCCAGCAGGCACGTCTCCAGCAGCTGGAGGTGCTGGAGCAGCGCTACCCCGGCCTCGTCATGCGGGAGGTGCCAGACCGGCCCCCGCCCCCCTACAGACCCCCGGCAGACCGCGCCCCGGGGGCTACGAGGCATCCCGGTGCCGGTAGTGCTGTTGCCGCCGTTGCCGGTACCGAGAACGACGCTTCCGGTGCCAAAACCGCGACATCCGGAACTGAAGAGGCCACTTCCGGTGTTGTAACTTTTACTTCCGGTGTTGCAGCCCCCATTTCCGGTGTTGGAACCACTATTTCCGGTGCAGCAACGCCTACTTCCTGTGCTGTAAGCCTTAGTTCCGGTGTTGCAACCCTTATTTCCGAAGTTGGAACCCTTACTTCCGAGGTTAGAACCGCTATTTCCGGAGTTGGAACGCCCACATCCGGTGCTGAATCCCCCCACCGCAGGGTTGCCCCACACCCCACAGCCCAGGAGAGCTACAGCAGCTTCATCTGCCCCCCCGACACCCCCGTGGCCTCCCCGTGAGTCTTCAGGGTTGTTGAATGTTATCAAAAACTTTAATGTTGATGAGCTCTCAACTGTGAACTGTTGATTAAAAACATCAAAAAATATATTGAAATTTCATATCTAACAGTGAGTTAGTGCTACGTGTATTCTGATTTATAAATTATTGAGATCACTGAATTATAAATATTTAAATTTAATAGATTTTCTGATGTCGTTTCAATCATCAACAGTTCGCAGTTGAGTATTGAATTTGAGTATTTTTAATTACAATATACGACACAACACACAATATATAACACAGTTGAAGGCATGATATTGAAATTTTATATTGAAATTTTAATGTATTTGTATATTTTGTCATTTAAATCATCATTAAGTTCATGAACTCAGACGACCTTCCCCCCACAGACGACGCCTGAGTCGCGCAGACCAGCAGGCAGCGGTGCAGTACAGTGCAGTGGGTGCAGTGGTGCAGTGCACCGACCACATGCTGGTGCAGCGCACTCTACAGTGCACCGTAGCCTTGTTCTGTGATGCCTGGTTTGTGCATCACCAGCACCCCGGCCTAGTGCAGCGGTGAGTGCAGCGGTGAGTGCACCAGCCTAGCCTAGTGCAGTGGTGAGTGCACCAGCCTAGTGCAGCGGTGAATGCACCAGCCTAGTGCAGCGGTGAATGCACCAGCCTAGTGCAGCGGTGAGTGCACCAGCCTAGTGCAGCGGTGAATGCACCAGCACCAGCCTAGTGATATTCAGGTGCTAGTGACAGCCTAGTTGGCGCTAGTTATAACCTATGTTAATTAGCTATGTTAATTTATTTCTTTCCAGCCGCTGCCTCCCATAAAATAATTTTATAAGATGTCACACAATCGCCCCTTTATATTAGGATGCCAGAATTTGGACACATGTAGACTTGCATTAATCTTATATTATTATTATTAATATTAAATAATATCCTCTCTAATCATGTGCTTGCTGTTTGTTTAGTCAAGACATACGTAGAATTGCATTAATATCTTAAATCATTATTAAATGTTATACACTGTAATCATGTGCTTGCTGTTTATTTGGAGGTAATAAATTCTGAGTATATACCATTAATCTGTCACTTGTAAGTGCCCGGCACTAACATGTCACTTGTAAGTGCCCGGCACTAACATGTCACTTGTAAGTGCCCGGCACTAACATGTCACTTGTAAGTGTCTGGCACTAACATGTTTGTTTATTGCAGGCCCGCGGTACCACCTCTGCCTGGCGCACCAGCAGCTGGTGCAGATCACCATCACGCCGTCAGTTGGTGCGCGATGCACCACCTCATATTCGACGCGGTGCGCCAGTTGGTGCTGGAGGAGCACCAGCTGTCTGATGGTGCTGCTGGTGCAGAGTGCAAGCCTTACAGAGTACACCACCGTCCTGTCACTGCACTGAGGTGTGCACAGCGTACAGCAGCTGTGCACAGCGTACAGCAGCTGTGCACAGCGTACAGCAGCTGTGTACAGCGTACAGCAGCTGTGCACAGCGTACAGCAGCTGTGTACAGCGTACAGCAGCTGTGTACAGCGTACAGCAGCTGTGTACAGCGTACAGCAGCTGTGTACAGCGTGTCACAAACGTGTTAGCAACATGTTACAGACTTGTTTAAAAAGTATTACATGTTACAAACGTGTCACTGTGTTACCAACATGTTATAGACTTGTTCAGACTTGTTTCAAATGTATTATGTACATGTTACCAACATGTCCCTACAAATCCCTACATGTCCCTACATGTTACAGGCGTGCAGCAAGTCACTCATCAGTCACGGCGACCGTCACCCGCCGCCTGGGGGCGCTGCTGGGGCTCCGCCCCCCGCCGCCCCCCGTCAGGAGGCTGCGCTGGACCGCCCACGCCAGGGACGCCGTAGACCAGGTCAGTGTCATTATTAAATATTGTTATTGTAATGAAGTGTTGCTGCAAATTTCCCACTGCTGTATGTCAGACTACGGAGCTTAAGTAGGACCGACTCTGACGTCGGTGTTGCATTGATTATAGCCGTCAGATACAATGCCGATCCCGACATGCGTCCTGGTTCCTCTCTTGTAGGATTTTGACTCAGACGCCAGGGTGAGTTGCGTGTTATGGTGGTGAAATTTAGCTTAGAATTCTTGATGGAATATCGTGATTTTTGTGTATATAACGACATGTAATGCGTAGATATTTACTTTCTGTTTTCTGTTGTAGGAAAAGATGCGTTTTCTCAGATCTCAATGCTCCAGCTCTCTCCTCGCATTTTGCTGTCATCGCACTTTAACTTCCTCCGCATTTAATTTGTTAGTTCGTTTCATATGCCGCACCTCTGTAAAATCATTAGTGTTATTTGTTTATATTAATTTTCCGTTTATCTTTAATAAACTTAAACGTTTGTTCGAGTAACTGTCCGCTCAGTCCAAGCTCTTGCTGATAAAACCAATAGGGAAGTTGCATTTGATTTCCGGTCATTGGTGGACGTGACAATTAGACCATCCGAACTTTGAGGTGACGCGATTAATTAGCTATTATACAAGATTAGTTCATCACATTTGGTGGCCAGTATGGGGATCGAACCCACGACATCCGCGTTATCAGCACAATATTTCCTTATATTTATATCTATAACTAAATATTAGAACTAAATCTATAATGTTATTTATAATATATAAATGTAATAAATTTATTATATCAATATAATATAATTATATACAGAGGTGGCAGTAGCGCGCTACATGTAGCGGCCGCTACGTTTTCAGTAGCGCTGGTGCTACATTTAAGCGTAGCGGCCGCTACACTTCAAAGTAGCGCTGCTCAGCTCTGATTATATGATCAATATTTAAATAGTATAGAGGCCGATAGATATTTAAATAGTATAGAGGGTGTGTTGCGGGGGCTGGCATGTGAGTATTGTGTTGCAGGTGCTGGTGCAGGAGGTGTTGTGCTGAACGCTGTTGTGTTGCAGGTGCTGGTGCAGGAGGTGGTGCAGGAGGAGGCCGTATGGACCGACTACCACGCTGACGAGGAGCAGGTCAAGTGCAGGTTGGCGGCCGACCTGCTGCAGTCCATCTTGTCTGAAACATGTCGTCTCTTCGCACTTATTATCAAAACAAAGATGGCGGCCGTCGTGTGATGAACTATTTAATTTATTTTATAATATGATTTGAAATTAGATATCCTGTGTAGCTTATTCAATGGCAACGTTTTATACGTCAACGTTGTGTCTGTGTCAACTATGCGGTTCATCGTTCATCAACGATGAATATAAGTCAACGATGAATATATGTCAGCGATGAATCAGTGTCAACGATGCCATTCATCTTTAATCAACGATGAATATACGTCAACGATTAATCCAACTAATTGCATTTGTGTACAAAATGTAGCACGTAATGTTACATCACTTATTAATTACTCTACATGTTGTAGCGTCTAAGAAATATTTAGTGTAGATATTCACTCTAATGCGTATTGAATACATCACATATCATTTCATGTGGATTATGTATGTGGTGACAACACCACACTACCTGTGCCTGATATATATTTATTTGTTCCACTATAAACTGTGATGATCTGTAGACATTGTACGATGTTATGTATGTCTATGTTGCTCTCTATGCTGCGATATGAGTGCCTTCATATCAGCATGTATATCATGTGTGATGTATGCATGAATTAGCTATAGCTGTGTCATGTAAGAATGTATGTAATTATTAATCAATACACGCTAGTTAGACTTCATTCAAAAATTTTAGTTGAAACATAAAGCCTAGTCCGTCCGTCTGGTCGGACGTCGGTATAATATCGTTCGCTATTTTAATGCTCGAGTCGTGCGAAAAATAAATTTAAGGCGTTGAAAAGTTGATAATAAACGATAGAACCTTCACTCCTTCCCCAGCTCTTGAGTAGTTTCACTATGAATCCTAAAGCATTGTGCTTCTCCATTATCAATGTTATTAGTATTGTTAGCGCATTTTCTCATTTATGGAAAAAATGCACTATTGTGCTCGTCATGTCCGTCCGTCCGTCCGTCTGTGACCTCAAGTTTTCGTCGACGAGAAAATGCGCTCTCTGTCACTCACTGCAGTGAGTACTGAGTTATATTTTTAGTATTTGACCGACGTTATTAGTATATTACGGTATTAGTATTAATTTATCAATTAATTCGTGAATCGAGTTATTTGTGACCAGGACAACAAAGCTTGACATAAGGTTAAGAAAAGCATGGCAGAGAACAAATGGTTTGCAGTATAAATAAAATCAAGATTCCTGTTAAATCCACAATTATCAAGTGTCCTAAGAAGCGATATAATAAAATCTACGTTATTACTTCAATTTTCAGAAATTGTAGATTTTCAAGCTCCTGGAAACGCACTAACAATTAAGTGGAGCACAGACTCCGGCCTCAGATCATGCGGTGATAATTTTTCATTGATAATTTGAAAAGTTTATCAATAATTTAATCAAATTTAAGATAATTCAAGTTTTGTTCAGCAATTTAAATGGTCGCGCGGTGATAATTTTTCATTGATAATTTGACAAGTTAATAATTTTATCAAATTTATGGTAATTCAAGTTTTGTTCAGTAATTCAAATGGTAGCACGCAACGCTGCATGCATTGCCAGTTAATAGGCATTATAAAACATCCTTGAAGATACAAGCAAGCTGAATGAAACACAACCTTTATTTTAACGAGTTACTCTTCTTGCAACGCCTTGTGGTAGGAATAGCATATAACCATTTTCAGGCACGTATAACATGTAACCACCTGTAGGCACGTATAACATTGTTGAGGGTTAATGCATCCATAGACAGGGAATTAATTATGTGAAGGCAGCGATCAGTTCAATTATCTCGTTTTAATTATGTCGCCCGTTAAATGACTGAACAGAATCAATGGAAACCTTTATCTTGTACTCAACAAGGACACTGACACCGCATTGCACGCTTGAGTTATAGCTAAACTTCGCTCTATTTATACAATGGACACGTCTGATTGTTTTAAATGTATTCATACAACTAACTATATATATCTGGGCTCGTGCACCTAACTAAATCATTTTAAACATAATTAATAAAGTTTACAGACTGAACAGTGGAGGCGCAGTTAGCTTTAAAAATACGAAGTTTTCCAAGAAAAAGTTTGTAGTAATAAAAGGTTAAAATCAACACAAAAGTAAAATGGCGTAATTTAAAACCTTGCATCCGAACGTAATGAAAAAAATTGTGAGGACACACCCATTAACATAAAATACCACAACGGAACAACTTATTTACACTCTGATGTCAGGCCACAGCACACACCTAGCATGCTGATGTCAGGCCTCAGCACACACCTAGCGTGCTGATCATACCTAGCGTGCTGATGTCAGGCCGGGATGCCTCAGCATGTCTGCAGTGCTGACGCAGCATGGCAGCAGCAGTACGCCCGTCAGTCGATGTCAGCAGCACAGGCCGCTTGCTGGTCAGCAGCAGCGAGTTGACTGATGTCAGGAAACCGTCGTCCCTCTCGCTGAACAGCAGGTCCAGCTGTCATATATCATAGCTTAGTATCATATCAACACTTTAATACATCATATCATCAATTATCATCACATCATCGCTTATCATATCAACACATTGATATATCATGTAATTGCTTATCATATCAACACTTTAATATATGACATCAAAACACTCGATGTAAGCAATATGTTGGGCCCAGTAAGCATACATGACGCTATTCATGACCATACATGCAGCTATTCATGACCCTAATAGGGAAGAGGTTATATCAACAGTCTTGTTTATTCAATATAATAAGAAACATAGAAGAATATTTCATTAATTCAACGGCAGAGCAACTCTTACATCTTCCACCAGCAGCAGCGTGTAGCTCTCCTCCTTGCTGGGTCCCTCCTTCCCCTCCTTTTTGCTGGGTCCCTCCTTCCCCTCCTTTTTGCTGGGTCCCTCCTTTCCCTCCTTTTTGCTGGGTCCCTCCTTCCTCTCCTTTTTACTGGGTCCTTTCTTTCCCTCCTCCTCCACTTCCACTCCTATATCCTCTTCACTCTCTTGCTCTTCGCTTTCATCAGACGAAATACGCGACTTCTTAGTCTTTTTTTGCCTTGTAGAACCAGTCCTCGATTTAGGATTGCCTTTTTCCCTTCTTTGTTTCGACAGCTGACTGGCAGTTTCAGTCGCACGTTTCTGTGGCTTGCTGGCGTCAGTTTTGCCTTTGCTGGCTTCAGTTTTGTCTTTGCCGACTTCAGTTTTGCCTTGGCTGGCGTCAGTTTTGCCTTTGCTGCTGACCGTTTTGACTTTGTCAGCGTTAGTTTCGCCTTTGCTGCCGACAGTTTGCCGTTTGCCGACGTCAGTTTTATCTTTGTTTGCGTCAGTTTTATCTTTGTTTGCGTCAGTTTCGCCTTTGCTTGCGTCAGTTCGCAGTTTACCGGCGTCAGTTTTGCCTTGGCTGGCGTCAGCTGCAGATTTTTGCTTACGTTGTTGGAACATAGCGGCGATGGGGTTGAGTTTAGGAGCGCGGGGTGGGGAGGCAGCTGCTTGCTGGGCGGCCAGCAGCTCGTGTGACTGCGCTGATGTCAGGAATAGCTTCTGTAATGTCAGCCACGAGTGAGAATAATGTATAATTATTAAAACTTTAATAATACCAAAATAACAACCATTATTATGTCAGGAACAGCTTCTGCACTGTCAGCCACGAGTGAGAATAATGTATAATTATTATAACTTTAATAATACAAAAATAGCAACCATTATTGTGTCAGGAACAGCTTCTGCAATGTCAGACACGAGTGACAATCATGTATAATTATTATTATAGCTTTAAAATTATTGCAATTACAGCTATTATTATTGCTCTTCAGGAACAGCTTTTGCAATGTCAGCCACGAGTGAGAATTATGAATAGTTATTATAACTTTAATAATACCACAATAACAACTATTACTATTACTGCTATTGTTTGTTTGAATAACTATCAACAACTAAAATGACATGAAAAATACGCCAAAATAAGTATTAATAGTTTTTGAAAAGATGTATAGTATTGAAAAATATTGTTCCTAATAATACTATCTGCGTTTAGGAATCTTCAGACCCTGGGTCTCTACATCCCACCTGAGTCTGCCGGTACGACTGGGACTGAGTGTGCTAGACCATAACCCCACCTGAGTCTGCCGGAACGACTGGGACTGAGTCTGCTAGACCATAACCACACCTGAGTCTGTCGGAACGACTGGGACTGAGTCTGCTAGACCATAACCACACCTGAGTCTGTCGGAACGACTGGGACTGAGTCTGCTAGACCATAACCACACCTGAGTCTGTCGGAATGACTGGGACTGAGTCTGCTAGACCATAACCACACCTGAGTCTGTCGGAATGACTGGGACTGAGTCTGCTAGACCATAACCCCACCTGAGTCTGTCGGAATGACTGGGACTGAGTCTGCTAGACCATAACCCCACCTGAGTCTGTCAGAACGACTGGGACTGCGTGGCCTCCATGAGTTTGGTGCTGACAGTCTTGGCGGTGCGACGGGAGGACGCGTTCACCTCCAGCACCTGCACGCAGGACACCTTCGTTAGTGATATGGCTTCTTAATAACTATATGCCTATTATTTCTAAATGACAAGTAATTTCCTAATGCCTAAACACCAGCCAATACGTAGTATTTTAATTACCATTACTCAATGTTACCATCATACTTTAAAAACAAAGTTAAGAGATCGTAATTTCATCAGCCGATCATTGACAGCCTTTCAAGCAAAATCCACCAATCATAGACAAGAAAATAGAGCGTAAGTACTTACGTTCACTTAGCGAGTTTTGAAAGTATAGCCCCTGTCTTCTTAATAACTAGATGCCTAAGACTTGAAAACTAGTAACATCCTAATACCTATTTAACAATAACCAGCTACTTAATCATAACTAAGTAATTCCTATCAACCAACTAACAAATACTCTACAGCTAACACCTGCCAATACATAGTATTTCCATTACTATTACTTAATGTCACCATCACACCTCATGTTTCCATCACACCACATGCCACCATCACACCTCATGTTACCATCACACCACATGTCACCATCACACCTCATGTCACCATCACACCACATGTCACCATCACACCTCATGTNATTTATCAATTAATTCGTGAATCGAGTTATTTGTGACCAGGACAACAAAGCTTGACATAAGGTTAAGAAAAGCATGGCAGAGAACAAATGGTTTGCAGTATAAATAAAATCAAGATTCCTGTTAAATCCACAATTATCAAGTGTCCTAAGAAGCGATATAATAAAATCTACGTTATTACTTCAATTTTCAGAAATTGTAGATTTTCAAGCTCCTGGAAACGCACTAACAATTAAGTGGAGCACAGACTCCGGCCTCAGATCATGCGGTGATAATTTTTCATTGATAATTTGAAAAGTTTATCAATAATTTAATCAAATTTAAGATAATTCAAGTTTTGTTCAGCAATTTAAATGGTCGCGCGGTGATAATTTTTCATTGATAATTTGACAAGTTAATAATTTTATCAAATTTATGGTAATTCAAGTTTTGTTCAGTAATTCAAATGGTAGCACGCAACGCTGCATGCATTGCCAGTTAATAGGCATTATAAAACATCCTTGAAGATACAAGCAAGCTGAATGAAACACAACCTTTATTTTAACGAGTTACTCTTCTTGCAACGCCTTGTGGTAGGAATAGCATATAACCATTTTCAGGCACGTATAACATGTAACCACCTGTAGGCACGTATAACATTGTTGAGGGTTAATGCATCCATAGACAGGGAATTAATTATGTGAAGGCAGCGATCAGTTCAATTATCTCGTTTTAATTATGTCGCCCGTTAAATGACTGAACAGAATCAATGGAAACCTTTA